CGCTCCATCGGCATCCTCGCGCTCTGATTGGTCAGTGTTTTCCGTTAATATCTCCTCAACGAAACCTCGGACAACATTTTCGCTAAGGAAAAAGTTGTTTCAAATCACCCCCCGAACCACCTCTTTCAATGTGTTACAACATATTTGGGACACCCTGTATACTGTCAAAGTTCAGTCACGCGATTAAGGAACACCCTGTACGTAGAAAGATAATATGTACATCACCGTGCAACTTGGTCATAATAAATCTTAAGCGGTATTATCAAATATAGATTGCATATTTTTGCATACTACGTTGACGACATTGAGCAATACAGAGATACAGCAGAAATGTTACGGCATAAATAAACACGTAGTTAAATATTTAAGTAATGCACTTTGTCAACTGATTAATACCCATTTAGGTATGTTGAATTATCGATTAATAGATAATGGATGACTGATATAAAACGGGAATTAAAAATCGATATACATATACTCATATGTTATCCATGTATACACGATCTTGACGAAAATTTAGAATAATTGAATTTAATAGACATATCTGTATAGAGTTCATAAATTAATCATGGTATCGGTTATTTGTAACACGTATACAACAACCAGCATATAAACAAATAAGATACTTTCGTAGATCAATAATCTGTTTATAGTCACAGCGAAGGTAGGAAAGGGGAACTGCAACGTTCGCTTGCATCGTTCGTTTTTAATTACAGCGCTGTGTAACGTCGATTTTCGCCAGAAATGAATTGAAATATTATTAGAAAAAACGCGTGTAACTCAAACCTGCACATTTCGTGGAGCAGTGCTGATGACAGGGACAATTACAGCTGTGCACGGACTTGCGTCGAAGAATCATATCGTTCTTTGTCTCGAGTCAATTCTATGCGGTTTACAAACGTCACGTGGTATTATCAATAAGGTTGGCGTTGTAGCAATTCGGCTTTTCCAAAACTATTCCAGTATTAACACGGCCAGACGAGTTAATTTGTCGCGTACGTCGATCGAATGGAATCTGTAGCGATGCCGGTGCTCGTTTCTCGTCCGAACATCGTAGCCGGTATTTCCGATCAATCCTTGTACACTCCGATGTTTCGACGGAACCGTGCGTCGCTTATCACTCGCGCAACAATGGAAAAAAAAACCCGTGAGTCAGGAATCAGATTATAATTTGCGCGTTGGTCACGCGATCCGTGGAAAAGTGGTCAACGACGAGACATCGAGTCGGTATTTCTTTCACGAGGTTACTAAATGCATCTTGCATCCCTGCAGTGGTACGACTCCTCGACATGAGCGGCTACGATGTCGGCCGACGACCTCTAGCGTAACCTAACCGAGATACGACACGCCATAATGCCGCTTCGCAGTGGAGGTAAAGACAAGGCGAAACAACCAATCGCGAGAGACTATTTCTAAAGAGGGGTAGCTGCACGTGACATGAAGCATGTCACTGTCAAATTGCAGAACTAAATCGAAGCAGATTTAATTTTACTCGACGATTATTTCAACGGTCACACGAAAGCGCTCCTAATTCTCAAAAATATTCTTATCGTTTTGTAAAAATTCATTCATTAAATTCGTCGATGTAAAATAGATAATGTAAATGTCTTTTGCGTTCATTTTATAGCAATACAAGTTTTAACATAGATTGAAAAAAAAATTAACACACAGGAAAATGTTTGCTGTTCAAATACAATAAGTCAGTGTCAAGATATTGGCATGCAATTATGATAAACGTGGCATGTGTGTTATCGATATTTGAAAATGTAATAATGTGATACATTTAAAACGATATGAATTTTAAAATATTCTAACCTATATCATTGCACGAACTTTGTTGACGTATCAAGGATATCCATAGAAAGAATACGTGAAAAGCTTGATAGACATGTAGTTGGCCCACTAAATTGTTAGAAAACGAGTACATGGAAATGTGCAAGAAACGCCCGAAAAATCAATCGACAGCGATAGGAAAAAACAGTTGAATTTTGACACGGTAAAAGGGAGGACAACGGGAACAGTAGAAGGCGGCCAAAATTCAAATGCGATGGAACAATGCACAGTAACAAAGTTACAGCGGAAACTCACCAGCCTCCAAGATTTCAAGATCCAGATTTCCACTTCGGCTGTGACTGATACTACTGCTGCAAGCATTGTAGCTAGACCTATGAGATTCTTCCATTGCACGGGAGGCACTTCGTTTGAACTGTTCCAGAAAACTGTCTATTTGATTTTCGATGCTGGTCGGCGAGCTGGCCATCTTTTTGCGCGCCACTCCTCGGTGAACGTCAACGTGCTGGAGATGGGGTCGAGAGCTGATCTCATAGGTACAAATTTTTCCGGCCGTTGCTGCACTAACTTTGGCCAAAGGACTGGCTACATTTTATGGCGTTGAACGTGCTACCCCAAAATCGCAAGAGTTATAGCGCGCGAGCGAACGTATCGCTGTAATTTCGACCGCTGTCGTACCTTCTTCTGCTACACGATGCATGTTTGTTTGTCGTCGAGGAACGCCCGGAACTGAAACGACGCATTGCTTACCGCAGTGTTTTCGCGGCAGGTGTCGCGAACGGTTGTAAAATTCGTGCGCATGGATTATTCATCTGCTATTATCTGCGCCTGTCGCAGTGGCGTATTATGTCGCAAGAAAGCGAATCAGTTTAAAGAGGATCAAAGATGTCTCCAAAATCAATGATGGAAAAATTTTGCGCTGTCATTCGATCAAAATCGCAGACCAAAACATGGAATAGCATGTAGTTATTTTTTCCTTTAGATGAAGTCCAAAACTCTGTTATGTCTCAGGGACGATGAAGGCACTGTACGTCACTGTTTGTTCATTATAACGCCAAGTTCGCATTGGTAAGTGGTCGTCTGTATCGTTTTTTATGTAACGTATTTTATTTAACCCAATTTGTAGCGTTGCGTTTACGAAACGTAGGACGTGCCTGTATTTGTTTCTAATACTGTATCGAATATACTGATTATCCAGGAATTTAGTTATACCGAGAGAATGGTATCGTTAATTTGTCAATTACATTCAAAATAATACATAAATTTTTGTTTGATTAGAAGAATTCCATTGTGCGAAATCTATTGTGTTTCTTTTCTGTGGTAGTGCCTGCAGGACCTCCAGTCGGTAAGACAGAACAGTTGGTACATATGGAATCGAAGGTGGGGATAGCATCGCGACATGGAAGGAGAGCCTCGAATCGTCATTCGTGTTGTAGCGCTGATGAAGTACGTATGAGTTTTTGTCAGTTGTGCGGGCATTGGCAAGTGTTGAGTGTATTGTAGAGTCAGTCCGTCAAGAAAGAAACACCGAGTTTCTTTGCAACCATGGGTGGTGAGTACATGAATCGTGTGTAACACGATTTTTCCTGCTTAACGCGTTTCAGCTTGTAGGTTACGTTCATTGAGAGCTCATTTGGGGTGTGATAACGTCGCCGGTAACCGGTCTTGACCCAATGACCTTCATACGGTTTATATCTCTTATGGACAACGACAAGTAACCTCTTCGTACGCGGTAGCGTCACGTTATATCCATGTGGCTTATAATTTTTCATGTACTTGTCGTCGAGACGCTACCGTGTCTCTAGATACGTGAAAACGCTTCGGTTTTTACTCTATCGTGTCTCTGTAACATATTTTCATCTACGAAAAAGCTATTTTATTGGTACTCTTTCCGTTTTCTTTCTTTCTTTTGAAACTGTGTATCTTGTTTATTCTATTTTGCTAAAATCAGTCAGATTCGCGCTCAATTTTGTGCCGTTTCTTTAGAACGCATGCGCGATCCGTTTTGTTTTTTTTTTCCCGATGATTTGGCGCCAGTTTAATATAACGGCGCTATAAACGCGCCACTACATTTAATTATGTTTCACAGTAAAAAAATATAATTAAAATCTTTGAAACGACTTTCATCTGTTTTCTCTTTTTTGAACGTGAACGTAACTGAGCAGCCATATTTAAAGTTCTAACATGGTACGCCGATATGGTAACGAATACTAATTCCACTTGTATTTTCTGTTTGAGTCAAGAATTTGATTAACCAGGTACATGAAGAATTAGCATAAGTGTAAGAAGATATTTCGCATTTCTCTTTTTTACTAGACGCGAGATTCCTTCTGTATAAGATAACTGTCGGCAGTATTCCTACCGTTTATTCTTAGCCGTCTGGGGGAGAAATTGCGGCTCTTTGCCAAACTCCTACCATCTCTATATTTATTTTGCACGTGTGGTAAAATTGTTCGTCAAAACATACCTGCATGCATACGCTGTCTCCTGCGTTCGAAACAGACGCGGACCAATAAAAGAATTAAAATTGTAAAAAAGAGAACAAACGTTTAACTACCTTTATTCCATTGTAAATATTTATCTCCAGATTTTGCGTAATCGCTCTCAAACGGTATTACATAATTAATGGTTTCTGTAATCGGAAATTACTTAACTTCAAGAATATTACATTATATTTATCGATCGGTGCGTAACGATGATGCAACGGACGCGATAAATCCGTGGGAATTTCTGTTTAAAAATATATTCAATCATTGATGGAGTAATGATACTTATTCTCGTCCTTTAATCGTTTGACGCGAAGGAGGCGATAGTAACGAGATGATAGATCGTTCATTTACAGACCAGCGCTCCACAAATAAAAAAACGTGTCGTTGGGAGCGGAGCTTAATGTCACAGTGAACGGAAGTTTGTATTGTTCAGTTCAATGTACCTCGATTGACTCGGACTAGCTGACAACTATTTTTATATAAGTTTAGTCTTGACCTTCGTCTGGGTTGGGTTCGAGAATTCTAGTTTGCTATGTTCGGTCTAGACTAAGATGGTTGTGTCCGATTCCTAATTGATCG